GGATGCTCATGGCAGGAAGGTTTACGGGCGCCACTGCTTGTGGCGCATTCAAGCTGGGGATCCCATCCACCGAAAGGGGGATGGTGAACTGTCGAACGCACACCACGGGGACTTGAAGTTGTTCCCCGGTGGTGTTTGTCTCCGTGCCCCGTCCGACGTTGCTGGAAGAAGCCATGAGTGCTAGGTTTTTTGAAGAAAAGAGGTTATGAGAGTTTGGAGGGAGGCTTTTTGAAGCTTTACCACAGACGACGCCAATTGATGGTGCGCAATCCGGCCGGTCTTAGCTGTCAACGACCTTGCCTCTGAACTGAGTTGCAGGGAACCTGAAACGGAGAAGATGAGGAAGCTCCAAGGGGAACCCGATGTAAAGGCTCTGAAGCTCAAGTTAGAATCCTTCAAAGGCAAGATAAAACCAGATAGCACAAAGTTTGCATACCATGTTCTTGGGGGGTAGAGAGCCTTTTATAACCACCTCGCGCACTCACTCCTAGGCTTTTGTCAGGTCGGGTATGATTACTTCCATGCTTCTGCCAGTTTGGGTGTCATCACCTCTGCTGGGGCAGAACCGCCACTGCTCTTTTTGTCGGAGCCGTCTCTGTAACTGGAGATGGCGGTGGCAGGTGACGGTGGTAGGTGGCCGTTGAAGTGCGGTTGTCAAGTGTCAGATCCCAAGTCAGTCAGGTGCGCCGCCCCTGGATACGGACTCCTTCGGTGTTAGGTACGGTGTGGTTTGTCTAGGTCGGCGTCCTGGAGGCGAAGTGCTGGAGTGGTGTGCGAGGTGAAGTCTTGAGTTCGGATAGGGGGGTGTCCCGAACTGCCATGAGGTGGGCCAGTTCGGGTCACTGCTTTGTGTGGCTCGGGGCCTAAAAGAGAGTTCGAGCTCTTAGTAGGGAGGTCGGGCTCCTCGTAGGGAGTTCGGGCTCCTCGAAGGGAGTTCGGACTCCTCGAAGGGAGTTCGGACTACTGGAAGGGAGTTCGGATTACTGGTTTCTTCCCTTTGGTGTTTGCGCCTGGGTACGCTGCTTTAAGTGCCGAGCTATTTGTTTTTGCCACGTGGAGTGATTGCAAGGTCGGGCCAAATCTTCCTTCATCAGGAGAGAATACCATTCTACCATGAACGAGAATGGAATTCCTATTTGGCCCAACAAAACAATTGAAATCAAATTGGCCTATTCCAATTCTAATTCCAATTCTAGACCCCTACTCTTGGTAGGGGTGAGCAAGAAAAAACTGAAAAAATTGATTGAAATCGAACCGAAAATTCAGTTAACCTAATTGACCGGTATACATATATTTTTATATATTTTATGTATATTATATATTTTTATATTTTCAATATATAATATATTGTTTATGATTTAAAATGTAATATTTGATATATTATATATATATATATTATAAATATAAAAAAAAAACCAACAATTAACCGAATCAATCAACCGATTAACCAATCAGTTTTGATTACTGATTTTCCAAAAACTGATAATACTGGTTCGATTTCAAAAATATGCCCACGGTTCGATTTACCCATAACTCCTGGAAGCAAGAAACTTTTAATGAATTATTGTAAAAGAAACTAAATTCTGAAAAGCTCGAAAAATAAATCAGATATGGTCTGTTTGGTTGAATCGGTCTGGTCTTTTATACATGCCGTGGTAATTACTAAATGCGAATCCCAGTACGCCAGGGCGCTATTAGTGCCAGCAGTCCGACGCCAGCCATTCCCAGCTGGGGCACAGTGGACCCAAAAATCAAACCGAGTCCGAGTGGGATGCTGGCAAGTGCCAATCCCACTCGTATTGGCTTATCTTATTTACCAAAACAACCTCTACAGCTAGCTTCATCACATTGACATAATATTATAAAAAGGGCAATGTGTCTCAGATAGTAATGAAAGTTACATTTTAAAAGGAAATATAAAGAAATAAACGCAGTGGGCCCCTGCTGGACGATATCATCTGTGGGTCCAGGTCCATTCCATAAAGGCTAAAGCCACGCCCTCCCTCATCCGTTGGATGATTGTAACGACCAAACCCCATCGGCCATCACAATATCCACGAAGTCTGGACGACCCTAAACATATATGTCAAGGTCATTTCATCGTGAATCACTGTAGAATAATAGAATACGTTTTAGGGGAGAAAGCCAGAAAGGATTAGCTGAACGCAAGTTACGCAACAGCCGTTAGGTGGGGGCCACCTCCGTCTAGTATAAGCCTTTCCCCTTTACCGGCTACCGCAAAATGTATCTATGATATGTACAACTGCCCTAACGATCTGTAACTAACAGAATGTTTGGTAACAACTCACAAATTACAAGTTTACGACCCATAAAATTTGCGTTTACTCCTTTTCCTCATTTTTACATTTTTCTTTCCTGATTTGCCTGAAAAGTGTGTTTGGAAATTGGGATATTTTGAACTTTATTTCAATATTTCTCATGTATGTTGAAGCAAAAAACACTTGAGCATTTAAAGAAAACGATTTTTATTAAATTCTCTCTTCATCTGCCCATGATTTCTCTGAATATTTAAAGAAAATATCCTAGATACAGCCATTGACTGAATTCTACTCACGAACGATCCGTCTTTTTTATTTCCCTTTTTTTCCTTTTAATACGCTGCAAAAGATCCGTGAACCATCTCTCTCTCCCTCCACGCGTATCCAAATTTTGCAAGATATAGTAAAAGGACAAAACTATCCCCATATGGCGTATGTCCTACTTCCTTCCTACCAAGTCCCAGCCTCACCTCCTCCTCCGCCTCCGCATGGTCCCAAGACCTAGTCGGTTAATTCTGGAAAAGACATCAGGGGAAAATCGTGCGGACGGTTAGGATTAGTTTTCGGGAAGATACTCTTATATTCTTTAATCATTTATTATTAATTATAAATATAGTTAGGTTATCTCTTGAGTCCGGGATCTATTTTTAGAGAATAAAAGGGAGAGTGGGAGGGCTGAGGAGTAGATTCGGCGTGAGCTACTTGTAGAAATCAGCTCCCTTGTGCGACACGTGTCGTCTGGTGAAAGAATAGATTCTTTAAGAGGGCCCTACCCCCCCCTCTCCCCATCTAGAAACTAGAGCAGACAGTGGTTGGATGGTCCAGTTGCTAACCAATTTCCCATCTCGCACTAACTTCAGCACGCAACCGAGTCCATTTGTTTTGGATGATATTTGTGCCCATGGAATTACACGTCTCGTACCTTGAAGTTGACGCAATTACCCTCCCACCCCTTTACATTAATGACTTCGTCAGCGTTTTTATTTAAATCCACTACGGTTTGATTCGCAGTAGGTGACTCCTTTAGACCGCTGGATGAGTTCTTAAATAAATCCAACGGTTAGTGATTGATCTACGACCACTCGTAAAAGAGACACGCCCAAGGACACTCCAGATCTGCTGCCTATCCATGACCATGAGCAGAGAGATTCATTGAACGGATCAGATCTCGACGCACGACGCCCAATTCCACCCAGAATTACCTACTGCTAGACTGTGTTAGTGTTCGGTGTGGGGAACATATTTGGACCTTGGACAGGGACCTTTCCCTGGGCCAAAGGCCCCCCCACCTCAACCAGGTCATCTGTTGCCACCTGAGCAGCATGGAGGGCGCTGTCGTCCACGTCGCTGTTCCAACGTGTATGCTATCTATCCTCAACAGGGCTTCTTTCACACATTCTACAAATACAGTGGATCAACTTCACTGTGTACGCATGCGGTCAACCAGTCAACTCCTTTAATAATTCCCAGTCGCTTGATACGAATCTTTCCTGCATCAGATGGTAGGCTACTAGGCTCCGTCCTCTAACTACAAAGCAGACCGACATGCGTATGAGGACTGTGGTCCCCAGATACCGCATTGCTTTCTAACCTCAAATCAGTTCGTTATGGGTCAAAGGCCATTTTGGTAACTCCGTCCCATAAAATAATGGGGCAAAGGAGGAAATACGAGTAAATTTTAATTTTAACTTTCCACGGAAGCAAAGCGACGAATGAGGTTTCTTGGCATAGATAGAACCGGAGACTGAGGATCTCTAATTTATATTAATTTGTTATGTTATAAACTTGTAATTCCTTTTAATATGGTGGGAAAGCTTTACTCTTCAAAATTTTTCATTTATTCTAATGGTCTGGGCTTCGACAACGTAGACAGATTTCTGTAAAGTGCAAGCTTTTTTTCTGGTTTTTTGAAGTTCTGTAACTGGACGTAAGCGATACTAACCGACGGGTGGAGGTGAAACCGCACGAAATCCACCGGGAATCAGGAAATATAAACCAGCAACAAGCCAACAACAACAGTCGTGATAAAATAAAAAGATTTTTAGAAATTTAAAATATAAATACGACCCCACGAAACCAACCAGAGAAGCGCAGAGAGAGAGAGAGAGAGAGAGGGAGGGGGAGAGACGAGCGTTAAGAAACGGAAATCGATGCTCTAAATGGCCCTTTCGCTCTGTTATAATGAGGGGAATCAAATCATTTAAGTGTTCGGCGTTAATGAGTGGTGTCCTCTGATCCAATTTAAGAGAATGGTTTCTCTTAGATTCTTCGATCTTCTTCTCTGTTAAAAATCTTTTTTTTTCCTCCTTCCCACCTTGTTTCTTTTCTCCCTCCAACAATGTCCTCTGGGTTCCCCGGTGGCGCTGATATCTACGCCTCCAAGGGGATCGGTGGGGGATCGACGACGACGACGACGACGATCAACAATGGTCAACTTCAGTACCGGTCACAATTTCAGGTCGATGGTTCTACCCCGGCGATGCTTCCTCGCAGAACCGATGCTGTTAGAAATCGATCGTTAGCGGAACTAGAAAGACTGCAGCTTCTTCGGCAGCAACAACGACTACTACTACAACAGCAGCAGCAGCAACAACAACAACTTCTTGGGTCATCTTTCTTTCTCAGGTCGGTTAAACAGAGAAGCTACCACCACACCTCTCCGATTTCTCCCCTCTCTCCTGTGGATTTCCACTCGCCGGAGGCCTCTTCGAATTTGACTTTTGCGGGAAGGTTCGGGCTTACCCAGCATCAACGGCCTACGTCTCAACTCGTTAACCCTTTCAACCAAATCAAGAATAATAACCCTTCTTGTAACAACCCTGGTTTGTCTGGCTTGTCCTTCTCCAATTCTGTTCCGAACCGTACTGTGGCTCTTGAATCGGAGCCGGACACAGAAAAGAAGATGAGAAATCGGCTCCAGGAGCTAGAGAAACAGCTCTTGGATGACAACGAGGAAGACGAAGGAGATGCCGCTTCGGTGGTTACCGGTAGCGAGTGGAGCGAAACTGTACAGAATCTGATGAACCCAAATCAGAAGCCTGTGTCACCTTCTCCAACCTCTTCATCGTCTTCGTCATCAGCTTCGCCATCGTCGTATTCCAGTTGTTCAAAGCAATCGTTACTTGACGCCGCTGCTGCCATTTCCGAAGGGAGGACGGAAGCCGCTCTGGCGACTCTGGCGCGGCTGAATCAGGTCTCGAACGTGCGAGGCGATCCGGAACAGAGATTGACGGCCTACATGGTATCTGCTCTGCGGTCCCGCGTGAATCCATCCGAGAATCCTCCCCCGGTGATGGAGCTCTGCAGTGAAGAACACATGATGGCGATGCAGATGCTATACGAGGTTTCGCCCTGTTTTAAGCTTGGGTTCATGGCTGCTAATCTCGCGATCCTCGAGGCCACCAAGGACCAACCGAACAACAATGTTCACGTGGTGGATTTCGATATCGGTCAGGGCAGCCAGTACATAAGCCTCGTTCATGCGCTGGCTGAGCAACAACAAGCCGGAAAGCCCTCCGGAGTCAAGATCACTGCCGTTACCGAACCCAGCAACAACAGCAACAGCGAAGCTGACGGGTTACGAGTGATTGGAGATAGGCTGAAGAAACTCGCGGAGCGAGTGGGGATCGGTCTAAAATTCAATGTGGTCAGCCGGAAGAAAATATCTGATCTGAGCAGGGAGACGCTGGGGTGCGAGGAGGACGAGGCACTGGCGGTGAATTTTGCTTTCAGACTATACAGAATGCCAGACGAGAGCGTGTCGACGGAGAACCCAAGAGACCAATTGCTGAGGCTGGTGAAGGAGTTGGGGCCGCGAGTGGTGACGGTGGTGGAGCAAGAGATGAACGCTAACACGGCGCCGTTTGTGGGACGAGTTGGCGAGGCGTGCGTGTATTACGGGGCGCTGTTCGAGTCGCTGGACGCTACCATGCCTCGGGACGCCATGAAGAGGGTAAAGGTGGAGGAGTGCTTGGGGCGGAAAGCGGCGAACACGGTGGCGTGTGAAGGCTGGGAGCGGATGGAGAGGTGCGAGGTGTTTGGGAAGTGGCGAGCTCGGATGAGGATGGCCGGGTTTGAGCCTGCACTGGGTCAACAAGTAGCCGAGTCAATGCGGAGTCGGCTTAGCTCGGTTAACCGGAGTAACCCTTGTTTCACGATCAAAGAAGAAAACGGGGGAATATGCTTTGGTTGGATGGGTCGAGTTCTCACCGTCGCGTCTGCTTGGCGTTGAAGCAACTAATTGTTATTGTTAAAAAAAAAGAAGGAAAATTCCACTCTTTATATATATTTTTTTCTTCTATATTTTGCTTAATGTGTCCCTAATCCCTGTCTTTATTTATTTAAAACTTTTGTAATTGTCGATTTTAATATCTTTAAAAGAAAAGGGGAAATGGCCACAAACACAAAGGAACAAAAACAAACACCTTGTTGGTGTTCAAACTTTAATTAAAATGACTTTTTCTTAGCATTTTTTAATTGAAGGTGGGTGGTGGAATATAAGTTTTTGGTAAACAATTTTTTTGCTTTTTGGAATTTGGTTTACCCAACTCCCCAACTATTGGCTCGTGGTGGTCGCAGTCTCGCAGATACAGTTCACAAACGGAGTACGCAACACAAGCCCCAAAATTGGGGTTCTGTGCTTTTTTGAATTTCGAAAAAAGGAAAAAAAAAAAACACAAATCCTGAAGCTGATCCAAACGCAACCTTGATTCTGCCACGTCATCGTTAATGAGATAGAAGAATGTACTGTACGGATGGACACGTGTCTGATTCCGATAGGTATGGGGGAGCTGTACCAGAGACCCCGAGATAGGTAAGATAGGGGGGTCGTTGCCGCTTTGGAATGTGGAGTTCACGTGCACTGAAGATGTGGCTAATAAGCTTTGAAATTAAAATTGATTTGGGTGGACATCGCATGGTGGGGGTGGGGGTGGGGGTGGCCGTGGCATACTCGTATTGTATTGGTAAACCTGGAAAGAGGAAACACCAAACAAAACACAGTTGATTAGAAATTTGTAGAATGTGTGTAGCATTGTAGTGTAGGGTTTTGGTTGTGGCTCAATTTTAGGGTTGACTAAGCGTAAAACTTGAGCACTTTATGAAGCAGCAGCAGCGGTGAGTAAACAGACTTGGCAGCGAAGTAAATACAGATGTCGCCCCATTTGACTTTGTCTCCAAACAGTTGGTTGTGGTGCGTATGACTGACCCATCATCATTTCATCAAACCACTAAAATATATTTTTAAATAAAATAAAAAAAAGGAAAAAGGAAAAAGGGATCAGAATCAGATGCTTAATTTGAATACTAAGCTCACCACTCACCACTCACCACACTTTGTCTTCCTCTGTGCCTCTTCCCTTTGCTACGTGGCCTTTCCTTTGTTTGCACTGCATTGTCTTGGGATCCATCCAGCCTTTGTTTGCACTGTAGTGGTAGGCCCAGGCCCCACTAGGAGGGGGGTTCTAGTGTGAGAGCTCTATTTTTCCAAGATTCTTGTAGTTGTATTTTTGGCATGGTTTTGAAAATCGGATTGGACCAGATAACCCGGCTTTGAACTTGTTGATCGGATTATTTGATTCAGAAACCAGTGGCCAAAATGATTCCAATTTTTAAAATCATGGTCATAGATTCACACATGGCTAATCATAATCTTAACCATGACTTGAGCATTGGATTGTGGACAGACAATAAGGTTGGTCAATCCATTTCCTCCTTTACACACATCACAACACAATTCGGTTTTTGCCATTTGCTTACTATACCCCGGTCCACGTCACCCTTCTACTAGATTCTTTCTCCAAATAATAAAATAATAAAACCAAAAGAAGAGGAAAAAAGGAACTAACTTCCTATGCCTTTATTAAATTTCCAAAAACGATGTCCCACTCTGAACTCCTTTTTGCCACGTGACTTGTTTTGCCTATTTGTGTTCCACGTATTTTATGAACAAGATAGAAGAAGGTAGCTTGATGGTGATGTAATTCTGACTCACAACCTAAAGAAAACTTCCAACTTCCAACCCGTTTCTCTGAATATCTGAATTATGTTTGACAAACAAGACAAAATGGTCAACACACTTGGGCCGGGCCAGGGCAACTGGGCTCAAGCCCAGGCATATATCCAAGGTAAGGCATAGATTGATTTCAGATGAGTTGCCCCCGTGGATTTTTCTCTTGATATGGGAAAATCTGAATAAATGGACCAATGAACAGGTTAGGTACTTGTTTGGACGCAAAATAGGTTGGTTTGTTAAAACTCCTTGTACCGACGGATCATTTTCTTGGCAATGTGGGCACATGATTTTTCAAGTGGTCCTGCACTGCATGTCCAGGAACCATTAATGAATCGTCCCACTTTTTTTTTTAAGGTAGTAATGTGTTATAGTTTGTAGTTTAAAAGGATTAGGTTTCAATGCATTAGCCAAATAGGCTCAATACTTAACTGATTTCAGAGTTTTTTATTTTATTTTTCTTTAATCTCTCTCTCTACCTCTACAAAAAAGATAGGAACCTAACTACCATCTTTCTGCCTTCTTTTCTTTCTGGCATTTAACATTTGAACAATTGTGTGCTGTCTGAATAATTCTATTCTTGGTAAAAGCTACTTGTCATCATGGTTCAAAGTATCTCGGTACTTTGAACCACACGGAAATATGATATTTTTAATTTTCTTTTTCAAATTTTGGTTTTTGGGGAACTTAATACCTATATTTTTCATTAAAAGATAATAAGGTCCCGAAACACCTGTAAATATATGTATCAGGACCCAAAAGATACAATATGATACACCCGATACAGGGTGTATCGTATCGATTTTTTGAACTGTGCTTGTCATTACAACCAAAACTCATATACATTGAACATATAAAGGATTGAAGAAAAGGATATTTTCCAAGATATATAAATGGATCATTTTGTTATGAAGCAAATTATTTAGTTACTATACAAACAAATAAGGTGATAACTGATAAGCCTCTATTTGTTTGCAATGCAACTCTAAACCAGATACAACTTTTCGTTGATAACTATTGCTTTTACCCGAGGCCAAATTTGTACTCTTTGGCAGTGCAAGTTTTACATTCAAAAAAAAAAAAGAGAGAAAATTTGCACTACCTTCCCCCTACATTAGTTCTCTCTCGTATAAAACCAGAGGGACCACATCATTTTGTTCCTGCGTCACTCCTCCCAAACAAGCAGCCTTCCTCCCACCTTCATTCTCTTTCATATAAAATGGGGCCCACATGGTTTTACTTCTAATTTACTCCTTGTAAACAAACAAAAGAATTAAACAAAATAAAACAAAGCCACACCTGCAAGCAAGAGTAAACCAGACTTTAAATTCAACCCACTTGTATTCCCATGCATTTTAGGTACACCAGTGCAAAATTTCTTTTGCAGACAAATGGTGCCTAAAAAGCAAAAATATTGAGGAGAATCAATAACTTTTTTTAGAAGGGAATGGTCCTTGAGAAATCAATATGCCTATAAATTATGTAATCCTGACCAGACCATTAGTTCCATTATTTATTAAATGCAAATGAATATGTAGATAAAGTATGATACAACAAAAATTTGTGCACAACATAGTACAAGTCAAGAACAGAAAAGCAGAGCAACCAGTTAGGCTATGTTTGGTTTGAAATAGAAGGTAGGGAAAATTAAGAAGGAAAAAGGTAAGAAAACTTGTACAAAATACAGTACAAGTTTGTTAGAATTGTAGTGTTGTAGGCTTGAAAATACAGTCTGAGCTTCCTGGCCGAGACCACCAGGGCGAAAGCTAACTTCTCCACCTTGGGGTAGCGGGTCTCCGCATCGCAGATGACCTTGTTGACATAGTAGATTGGTCTCTGCACTCCATCTTCTTATCTTACCAACACTGAACTGACTGCCTCATTCTCGGCCGAGAGGTATAGGTATAGAAAGTCTCCTGGAAGTGGCTGAATAAGCAGAGGGGGCAAGGCAAGGTAGGACTTTAGCTTGTCAGAGGCACACTGACACTCTTCTATCCACTAGAAGTCTTTTAGTTTCTTGATGGCTCGAAAGAAAGGTAGGCAGCGACCGATCGACCTTGACATAAGCTGGCTAAGGGCAGGTAGTCGGCCAATAAGCCTCTAAGTTTCTTTGATTGACCGAGGTGGTGCCATGTCAAGGATAGCCTGAATCTTCTCTGGGTTGGTCTCTATGCCCTGCTGCATGATGACGAAGCCTAGGAATTTGCTTGAGGTGATGCCGAAGTTACACTTGCTAAGGTTGAGCTTCATATTGTATTTCCGCAAAGCAGCAAAGGTCTCGACTAGGTCTGAGGTGTGTTGGTCAGCTTTTAGGCTTTTTACAACCATGTCGTCCACATAGGCTTTGACGTTTCTCCCCATTTGATGCTTGAAAACCTTGCTTACAATCCATTCTTAGGTGGCTCCGACATTTTTGAGGCTAAAGGGAATGACCCTATAACAGTGCGTGCCATGCTCGGTGACAAACGAGGTCTTCTCCTTGTCCTCGGGGTGCATCTTAATCTAATTATAGCCTGAGAAGGCATCCATAAAGCTGAGTAGCTCGTACACTGCAGTGGTGTCAACGAGGTGGTCGATTCTCGGCAAAGAAAAACTATCCCTAGGACAAGCTCGATTGAGGTCTATGAAGTCAATACAGATCCGCCACTTCCTGTTAGCCTTCTTTACCATGACCACATTAGACAACCAGTTAGGGTAATGTACCTCTCGGATGAAACCGACGTTGAGTAGCTTATCAACTTCCTCTTCGATGGCTTTTCATCATTCTGGTTCAAAGTTCCTCTTCTTCTGCCGAGCTGACCAAGAGCTCAGGTCCACTTTCAGCCTATGAGTAATGACCGAAGGGTAAAGTTCGAGCATGTTAGGGGCAGACCAATCAAAGACGTTTGCATTAGCTTTGAGGAAACTTATCAGTTCAGAAAGGCTATTTGGAGGAAGGTTGGGCCCGATGCACATCGTTTTCTTGGATTGGCCTCGTCTATGGGTACCGAGACGAGGTCCTCGGCTCGCTGGTTCCTCCATGAGGTTGAGGCTCTCTAACGATAGAGCTTATTTTTTCTTCTCCTTTAGTGCTGCCACATAGTACTGGCGAGTGGTTTGCTGATCCCCCTGGACGACTCCAATGTCGTGTTCGATGGGGAACTTGAGGGAGAGATGGTAGGAGGAAATGGCTTCCTTGAGTGCGTTGAAGATCGGCCATCCAATGATAACATTGTAGGGGGAGTCGATCCTCACGATCAGGAACTCATTCATCCTCGTCACCTGTTGAGGTTCTGTTCCTATCGTGGCTGGTAGGGTGATCCTTCCCTCCGGTCTGACAACGTTCTTGAAGAAGCCGATGAGTGGCACATTGGTGGGATG